CATCATCATAATTTGTCTGTCTTTTAATTGTAGCTTGATATGAGTTTTAATATTAGAATATACACTTACTGACCTTTTTACTGGTTACACCTGTCCAGCTTCTAGTTGACAAATTTCTAATCAGCCAATCACATGGCAGCAACTTAATGCATTTAGACATGCAGACATGGTCAAGACAATCTGCTGCAGTTTAAACTAAGCATCAGAATGGGGAAGAAATGTGAATTAAGTGACTTTGAATATGGCATGGTTGTTAGTGCCAGATGGGCTGGTCTGAGTATTTCAGAAACTGCTGATCTACTAGGATTTTCACGCACAACCATCTCTAGGGTTTACAGGGAATGGTTCGAAAAATCCTGCCTTGTATCAACGATTCATTCTAGTGGTGATGGTGTAATGTGTGGGGGATCATTTTTTGGCACACTTTGGGCCCATTAGTACCAAATGAACAGTGTGTCAACACCACAGACAACCTGAGTATTGTTGCTGACCATGTCCATCCCTTTATGACCACAGTGTACCCATCCTCTGATGGCTCCCTCCAGGCAGAATAATGCGCCATGTCATAAATCGGCAATCATCTCAGACTGGTTTCTTTAACATGACAATGAGTTCACTGTCCTCAAATGGCCTCCACAGTCACCAGGTTCAATCCAATAAAGCAACTTTTGGATGTGGTTGACATGATGCTATCATGTCAACATGGACCAAAATCTCTGAGCAATATTTCCATTACCTTGTTGAATCTATGCCACAAAGGATAAAGGCTGTTCTGAAGGCAAAATGGGGTCCAACTCGGTACTAGTAAGGTGTACCTAATAAAGTGGCCGGTGAATGTGTATTCAGTAGCAACTTGTACCAAAAATTGTTTAAGTGAAGTGTGTGCCAGAACAGGGGGAAAAATTGGCGATGGTGACTGATGTAATTAATCTGCAATTCATTAGTAATTTTTTAAGTAAAACATACCAAAATTAAATCAAATGAATGTCATATTTTCTCTTTATTTTTCCTCAAAACAAAGATTCTGAACACTCCACTGATGCTCCAGAGCCTGCTGGATCTTCTGACATAGAGGAGGCTAATCAGACTAGTGAAGAACAAGAAGCAGCAGCAGCAGATCTAATGAGTGAATGCCAGAACCCTATAGATTTACAAGAGACTCCAAAAACAGACCAGATGCAGTTAATTGAACTTCTGGCTAAACGGTTTAATACTATGAACAATGCCCTAAAATCAGTAGATTCGTCTATAAAGACGTTTATGAAAAAATCAATTTAAGACATTTCTGTTCCGTTCCATACGTAGTATGCATTTTTTTCAAGCTCCTAGTTGTATAAACGCGAATGCTTATGTTACTGCTGTTGCTTGTGTCCTGACTTCACTTACTGTTTGTTTCCTGGAGTCTGGTAGGTTTGCCTGAACCATCAAGCTTTATTGTTTTAATTTCATTTTCTATCTTGTTTAGTTTGTCTTTATTATACTTTATTTGTATTTTTTTCTTTGTGTTTATGTTTGTTAAGTTAACGTTGAATATTTGTTGGAGAATGGGTTTTTTGATTCTTTATTTGTTCTTGTTTAGTTATGTGTTTTATTATAATAAATGTATTTGTTTTGCTGAAATTGGATTCACATGTCCTCTTTATGATGTGTTTCCCTTGTGAATTTAAATTTAAAAACTGTTCATAAAAATTGATTGACATTGGATATATCACCCCCCAAAAAAAAGGTTCTGTTACTCGCCTTCACTTGTTCCAATTCTGTTTTACTTACTTTCTTCTTTTGAACACATACGGGGATCTGTTGAACATGTAACCGTTGACTTCATTAGTATTTATTTGTTTTTCCTACTAAGGAGGTCGATGGTTACAATGTTGTCAGCTTTCTTCAAAATATCAGATTTTTTGTTCAACAGAAAAAAAGGAACTCATAAAGGTTTAAAACTACTTGAGAGTGAGAAAATAACAAGTAAATTTTCATTTTTAGGGTTAACTATCCCTTTAAACATTGGAATGCGCATAACCCCTAGCCCCGATCCTCACAGTGAGGTCAGTAGCTCCACTGAATGCATTCTGTCTAACATGCTTATGCGTGATGTGTGTTTGTGTAATGAGTGAGGAGGTGTCAAGGAAATCACTACCCAAATGAAGGTATGCTGAATTAAAAGAGATTTAACTGGCTCTGAAAAGTCCAAAATTATAAAATATCTTGTAAATGTGTATAGATGTATATGTTTATACAACAGTACTGTCTGGTTCTTGAATCTGATTGGCTGAAAGTCGTGTGATATTCTGCAATATCAGAACTCGTATAGGCCCAATCCCAATTCTACCCCTTAGCCCTTCCCCTTACCCATAACTCTCGTTTTGCGCGTGCCTGTGAAGGGGTGATGTCCCAATTCTCTTTAGCTTGAAGGCATAGGGCTAAAGAGAAGGGATGTACACCCGTTCAAACGAAGATTTTTCAGGACCACACTCAAAACTAAGGGGTAGGAGAAATTTCACAGAATACACTAGCTCCAGCTGCTCCCGAAAGTAAGGTAAAGTAAGGTAAACACTAATTAGTAATTTATGTCATCATTACGAATTTTTAAAACAAACAAACACGTTTTAATATATTCATGACCGCGTTCGTGTTTTACCGTCATGCTTTAAAAAAAAAAAAAAAAAAAAAAACTTCGCAATCTATAATCCCTAATACTAACTTCTGTACAGCAGTCCCACGACATTCTGACTCTTGATGACACTGCAGTACCCTGTCAGATAATTCTAGTGGCTGGGAATGGGCTTTTTACAGTGTCTGCTATAATGTTAATTTTGTCTTTGGTGTGTTTTCATAGATGAATATGGCCACTGTGTAAATGCTCAGTACTGTTACGATCTTATTGCCACATTAGATCGTTTTGATAACATAATACATGGCTTTAGTGGTTTCCTGCAGATAAAAAACAAAAATAGCACCACTGGATTCACCAAATACAACTAGAATCACTACAGTAGGCGCAATCATCTGAACTCATATAAAGCAAGAGATTACGAGGACATGATGATGTGTGCAGGTGATGTATTGCTGTCCCAATTCTTAGGGGTAAATTTTGAAGCCCTTTGCTTGCTGAAAAATCCAGCTTAAACCAGCCTAGGCTGGTTGGCTGGTTTTAGCTGGTCAACCAGGCTGGTTTTAGAGGGGTTTTGGTCACTTCCAGGCTGGTTTCCAGCCATTTCCAGCCTGGTTTTAGCTGGTCAGGCTGGAAAATGACCAGCTAAATCCAGCTAAAACCAGCTTGACCAGCCTAGCCAGGCTGGGAGCCCAGTCAAAACCAGCTATGTCCAGCTTAAACCAGGCTAGTCAAGCTGGTTTTAGCTGGATTTTTTAGCAGGGTTCCCCTTAACCCTCAGAGTTGCTAAGGGGGAGGGGAAGGTGTAGGGGTACAAAAATAGTATTGGATTTGGCCCATAGCCTCTTTACTCTTGTACTTGGAGTGAAAGCAGATCAATAAACTCACTATACAGTTTGACAAATATTGCAGCTGTTGGACAACATAATGTATTTTCGTACATATTGCATCTATGCAACTTATTTATAAGGATAGAGCCTATTTTAAGTATTTATAATTTAGATACAGCACGTTGGCATCCATCTGCCTGTCATTAAGCAGAGAAAAGACAGTTGATGTTGACATTCCACATGATGGTGACAGAGACCACATAATAAGCCCTTGGAGAAAAGATCAGCATTTTTTGAAACTGGTAAGTGACATTCTAAGTCGATCTCTCTCTGTCTCTCTCTCTTTCTCTCTCTCTTGTGTGTTGTAGTGTATTGAGTGTGAGATGGGACACTCAATTATAAGGAATGTATGTATCTTGTGTTGGCCACTCTGTATAAGCCTGAGTTACTTTTTGGTTGGCCATCTCTTTTTTTCTAATGCCTCTTGTTTTCGTTACTGCAGACTAGTTCGTAAAAAGAAAGAAAGAAGAAATGCCCGCATGTTTTGCGTTTTTCCTTATCGCAAACACAACAGTAATCTGATAGTATTTGCTTTGCTTTGGCTTATTGGGGTTAATTATTGGTTTCTCCCAATTGTAACAGAAATACTGGGTCTCCAGACTAATGGCATTTCATTCTGTTCAGCCTTATAATCTAAAAATTTGAGCAAAGTCACCTGTTTTTATCACTTTAGACACTTTGCAGGAGATCATTCAAATAGCTTTAAAGTGATGTTGGTGAAGTAGCAACTGTTTCTGCTGTTCTGACGTAAAATGATTTTTAGTCTTTGTGTTTGACTTTTTTGGTTATGCCGTTGAACTGCTGTAAACGCAATATCACACTCGCAGTAGATATGGTTGTACTGGTTTGTATAATTGTCACTGGTGGGACACTGAGGCACTCAGACTGGCCTCATGCTAACTCGCGCCTCCCTCCAGTGCCGACATACAGCCATAATGCACTGCTGCTCGTGTGATATTGCACATTTGTGTTAACTTCGTTTGTTTTTTTGTATTTTGTAACATTTGCAAAATTTAAAAATAATGATTAAGAAAAAAAAAACATCATTGCGTGATGATCAATAAACAACCAGCCAATCAAATGTGTGCTGTAGTAGTTTCACTATTCCTGTCACGTTTCACTAGTTTAGCAGCAGTTTTTAAATAGATACTATGGTAATGACAAATGCAGCATGAGCTTAGATTTAGAACAGTTTTTTTTTAATTGCACCACTCAAAAATGCTAATCAAAGCACCAATTAGCGTTACTAAATTCGCTAGTTGCCACTAGTCTTGCTTCCACTATTAACTTAAATTAACATGAGATGTATATCAGACATTTTAAGTTAGGAACAATTAACATGTAACAGCATACTTGAACATGTGTTCATTTAAAAATCTGCATGTAACTACAGTTGTTGTTTTAAATTCTGCATGGGTGGATCAGCATTTCACAATATTCACTATACTTAATGCATTACCTGTTTGTCCTGTTTGCATTCAGCTGTATTTTTTTTTTTGATTATCTGGGTTATGCAAAATGACGTTTGTGTCTGTTCATTACTGAATGGATTAGAGAAGAGAAACTCACAAAGACGAGGTGGACACAGCAGGGCGAGTACAACAGTTATTATTTTAATGCTAAATATGTCTTGTTTTACTTCCTTTCCTTTTTCTTCTTCAAATTTCAAATAACAATCCATGAAGCCACTTTGACTTTTGTGTTAGCATGAGTCTCCTTTAACAGTAAATGGTTAAATCATAAATTGTGTGCGTTATTGAAAAGAAATATAAGTGATTGTACTGTGAACAATTGTGAACAACTATCATTTTGTAATAGTAAAAATGAGGGAGACAATCTGCTTTTTAAAAACATATGTGGATATTTTTTATATTGTTTTGTTGGGCAAAACTGAAAAAATAAAATGTTTTCAAATCATTTGGTTTATAAATTGGTATTAACTTTCAGATTTGAGTATCTGTTTCCTATATTTGTTTAATTTCACTATTGGAAAAATCCTCTATGTAAAAGCTTTTAAATTAGAATCAGCCAACATAAGCAGACTGAATTTATCAGGCATGCTTTTTTTCTTTCTTTCTTTGTCTGTTTTGCTCAAATCTATGACAAAAGATTTCTTAGTCTCCAACCATGTGGTATTTACCTTTTATCACATTTCAAGAACTAGTAGTTGGTAGGCTTGAATAACCTTAACTCCAATCTTTACATATTGAAAACCATACATGTTTGTGCATTTAATATGAGTAGTGAGGTTGCAGTTTCATTATCTGCAAATGAAGATTTGGCTGAATGCCTGTAATGTGTCATGATCTGATCAATCATTGTTTGAATTCACAATCTGTTTTCTTTCGCAGAACTGACAGCATTAAAGACAGCATTATGGACTTAGGCTTTTTCACAGACGAAAAGTTGTTTAATTTTTTTTGCCAAAACAAGACAAAGATGTCTACATTAGAGAGCCCACTAATGTTCCTCCGCACTCTTAAGGACAATGAACTCATTGAAGATGAACTTTATGTAAGTTGAAATATATATATATATATATATATATATAAATTAAAAACTATTTTTTAGAGCATGTATAAATATTAGAAAGAAAAAAGATTTAACCTTAAAGATTTTTTGCTTGTGCTTTTGAAGCAAAAACTGGAGGTCAGCACTAATGATAGTGATTTATATAATGTGTTGGAGAGTATTCAAAAGCGTGGAATGAACACTGTTAGAAAGTTCTGGAATTGTGTGGACCAAGAGCATATAGTACAGCGCTACCCACAAGTCTCTGAAATCATCTCGGAGCTGATGAAAGGTTACAAATTATCTTTTTTTTTTATTTCACATAGCACTGGCTATTCATTTCATAACGGAGATTTCCAATTCCTCAGATCTTGAGAATCCACTAAACCAAAAAATAAGGCCAAGATCTGTAGATAAAAGCACGGGACAGGAAAGAGAGATTAAAAAGATAAAGATAGAGAGCATATCTGAGAGAAATGAAGCTGGGCCGTCGTCACAAAGCACTTATAGCCAGAGGAAAATAGCTGAACATGTGGAAAGAGGTGAGTTATCTTCACAATTACACCATCAGCTAATTGAGACTACACAGACATTAAAATCCAGTGCTTGAAATTTTTGCACTGCTCTGCTGCACTCTATTAAGCATCAGTCCATTTAATACTTTTAAAGAAGTAAAGGAACATGAAACCCCCTATTTAAGCACCAAATAAGTCTCGTCATAATTTTTCAAATGCTGCATAATGGCTGTGATAAAGTTGGAGAATGAAGACAACTGACTTGAACAATGTCTTTACATTCAGTGATTCTTTCAAGTATCAAAGCTTATTTGAATCAACTTTTGTTGTTGTAATTAAACAATTACAACAAAATGAATATTTATTCTGCTTGCTTGTTTGAATTAGTGAGCACAGATGCAGTCAGGCATGTCCACATCATTCAGTGCAGTTTATGAACCCAAATGAACGTCAACTAATAAGGATCAGTTTGTTCACAAATAAAAATTGAATATAGTGACAGTTCAGAATAATTATGACTGTTTAAAATTAATTGTTTACAAGTATGGTAAAAAAAAAAAAAAAAAAAGTGCAAAATTGTGCTTTGGTGTGTAGAATTGTAAAACGTTTACCAAAATGAACACATTCTCATTACACTTATGTACAGTAACATGGTACAAATAACTCGAGGTTTTCTTCACTGTTTTTTATGCATTGATCAGCTAGTCTATTCTGTTGTCTAAATATATTGACTGAAATAAGTTTATAAAAATGTTTCAGGTCTGCAATGCTCTCCAGACTCCAGGACAGAAGACTCAAGTTTTTTATTATCAAGTATGTAAAGCGGTTTGGTGTTAAATGTTTGTTTAGACACTTAAATGAACACAAAAACCAATTCCTTTTTCACCCTCCATTTTAAATGTGCTTTTTAGCCTCTTCGGTAAAGCTCTGGGACATGCCTGAACACAAGAAATGGCTTCCTGTCACATGTGGAGAAGAAGAGGCCTTACTGGATAGAGAAGCACTGTTTGAGAGTAAGTTACCATCACTGTTTTAATGTTTCAAAGAAGCATCACCCTCTGACACAAAATAATCTGCAAAGAACTGTGATGGAATTTTACTTTTTCTTGAGCAATATACAGTAAACGATATTGTCATGACAAAATGAATATATAATCCATACAGTGCATCCGGAAAGTATTCATAGCACTTCACTTTTCCCACATTTTTTATGTTACAGCCTTATTCCAAAACGGATTAAATTCATTCATTTCTTAAAAATTCCACACACAAAATACCATAACGACAATGTTAAAAAAAAAGTTTTTTTTGAAATTGTTGCAATTTAAAAAAAAATAAAAAACCTGAAAAATCACATGAACATAAGTATTCACAGCTTTTGCTGTGAAGCTCTAGACTGAGCTCAGGTGCATTCTGTTTCCACTGATCATTCTTGAGATGTTTCAGCAGCTTAACTGGAGTTCATCAGCAACTGGAATAAATTCAGTTGATTGGACAGGATTTAAAAAAGGCATACCTGTCTATATAAGGTCCCAGGGTTGACAGTGCATGTCAAAGCACAAACCAAGCATGAAGACAAAGGAATTGTCTGTAGACTTCTGAGACAGGATTGTCTCTAGGCACAAGGCTGGGAAAGGTTACTTTTTCTGCTGCTCTGAAAGTTCCAATAAACACACTAGCCTCCATCATCCGTAAGTGGAAGATGTTTGGAACTATTAGGACTCTTCCTAGAGCTGGATGGCCATTTAAGCTGAGTCATCGAGTGAGAAGGGAGAAAACCAGACACCGCTCATCACCAGGCTAATACCATCCCTACAGTGAAGCATGGTGGTGGCAGCATCATGCTGTGGGGAAGTTATTAGCAGAGGGAACTAGAAGACCAGTCAGGTTAGAGGGAAAGATGAATGCAGCAATGTACAGAGACATCCTGAATGAAAACCTGCTTCAGAGTGCCATGATCTCAGACTGGGGCAACGGTTCATCTTCCAGCAGGGCAATGACCCAAAGCAAACCCCCAAAATATCAATGGATTGGGTTCACAATAACTTGGTGAATGTCCTTGAGTGACCCAGCCAGAGCCCAGACCTAAATGCAATTGAACATCTCTGGAGAGATCTGAAAATGGCTGTACATCATTGCTTCCCATCCAACCTGATAGAGCTTGAGAGGTACTGCATAGAGGAATGAGCAAAAATTCCCAAAGACAGGTGTGCCAAGCTTGTGGCATCATATTCAAAAAGACTGGAGGCTGTAATTGCTGCCAAAGGTGCATCAACAAAGTATTGACCAAAGGCTGTAAATACTTACTGTATGTACATGTGATTTTTAGTTTTTTTTTAGTTTTTATAAATTTGCGACAATTTCAAAAACTCTTTTGTCACATTGTCATTATGGGCTATTGTGTGTAGAATTTTGAGGAAATAAATTGTTTTGGAATAAGGCTGTAACATGAAAACATGTGGAAAAAGTGAAGCACCATGAATACTTTCCGGATGCACTGTAAGGTTAATGACCTAATGCAGATATTTTTTTAGGGCCTTCTGTTAATATGGTGTGAGGGGTGAAACTCCTGAAGAAGCCCTTGCATGAATCTGTTATCATAAAATGTATACTTTAGCCTTTATAAGCTACTATGAGCGAGTAACTACATCTTTTTGGTAAAAGGCATGCTTCTGTATGTAAACTGATCATTCTCCTTAGAATTAAAGTGAGATAAAGGACAAACTCTGTCTGGTCTTATTCAATTTCAGTTCTCACAGTTATTTACATTTCTTTAGTGGAAAAAAAGGAGTTTCCACGACAGAACATTATTTAAAAAATGATAAATATATCCTGCAATCTTTTATTTTGATAACCACATAAATATACTTAAAACATAAACAGTGCTTTAAAAAAAAAGTTTGAGTAATACATTCTTCAAGAAATGACAAGTAAATATTCAAAACCTGTTTACCTGTGGTGGCAAAGATATGATGCACATGGGCACATCTTCAGATGATTGGGTGTTTTGGGCCTTTCACAGTTTTTGTATTCCTTAAACTATTTACTGTGTGATTTATACTGTAAAACTGATTCATGTTGTGTACATAATTTACATATTCTTACTGATAAACTATCAAAACTCACCCCTATTCTCAGGAAAGAAGAATTGCATTGAACACAATGGAGAAATGATCACTCCTTTTACATTTGAGGAAAGGGGTGGAAAAGAATCCTGTAAGTCCTGGAAAACAAGTATATTATGCCAAGGGAAAACCCTCAGCAGTCTCATGGAGGTGAGAAGCAGTTGTTGCTAATGTGTGAAGTATTTGAATACTTTTGTCCATATACATAAAGCAAAACACAATTTCTAATTTTGTCTGCGCTTTTCTAACAAGGCATCACTTTATTTTCAGTTGGAAATATTGAAGATGCCGAAACGTAAGGGAAAGTTTACCCTTCGTAATTGATGTACCACGCATTGTTTATTGAGCTCGGAGTGAATCTTTATGACCTGTGAATTTTGGAGACCAAATTTTCTTCCATTTTGAGCTACAGCAGGTCTTCAAGACTTGACCTTTTGGATTTGTGCTGACCTCTTTGTAGCCATTACTATTTTTTGCCTTTTCATTTGCCTATTTGTCCTTCAACCAACAGATGTAATTCAAGAACTTAATGTACACTTGCTGCCTGAATTATCGTACTTTCTCTTTTTCCTTCACTTTTGTCAATTGGTGAAGTTTGTCTCTCACCACGGTCACCACTGGCTTGCTTGGTTTGGGATATGTGGAGCTATGTAATGGTGGAGTTACTTTTCAGTCTTGGCTTTGTTTTGGATTTCAGCAGTGATATTTACATTACACTAAACTTCAACTGTGAAAACTGTACTGCAGGAGTTTTAATTTATTAGAACCGCATCTATGTGAAAACTGCTTTCACACAATCTACATTGTAAAAAGCAATATCAAAATAAAGATTATTTTAATTGAATTTGGCATGCTTGTTATGCTGCTGCAAGTGTGTTTGTGTGTGTGTGTGTGTGTGTGTGTGTGTGTGTCTGATCAGACTGTACAAACATTACATATTGCTAATGTGACCTTTACATGGATAAAAAAAATGTTCCATTGAATTTGGTCCATGCAGGTTTTTTTTTGGTCAACATTGCAATGATTTTCATTAAACACATCTCGGGAAAGATAGGGACACATTTCCAGTATAACTATAAACATTCAAATGTCCTATAAATGTGTTGTCTCTAAACTATCACAACTTTGATATGTTAAAATATTTATGGTTCACTGTGATGTGTTGAAAATAAAAATTTATTGAATTAAAAATTAGTTCATGACAATATATGATAAATTTAGAGAAGCAGAGGAATTGTACAGTATTTATTATTATTATTATTATTTTATTTTTTATTTTTTGCAAAATAACTATAGTTTTAGCTATAAAGAAATGTTAGATTTGTCTGGACATTGCATATGCTTAAACAATGACCTGAGTAAGAAATTACTGTCATTATGATGTGTATGAAATCTGTTGTCATTACATTTCATGTTTTGATAAATCTAAAGTTTAATATGTGTTTACTAAGTTTTTAAAACTTAAAACAGCTCAAATTAATTAAGAGTTTATTTGTTATTGGCTGTGTGCTGAAATTTATAGAGATTAATAGGATGTGTTGGTAATTAAATTACTTTTCAAGCAAAGTCATTAGAAATGTAAAGTAATGTAATTGATTAGTAATTTACTACTTTTTCTGCAGTAACATACCCAACATGGGTGACATGGTGGCTCAGTGGTTAGCACTGTCGCCACACTGCAATAAGGTCGCTGGTTCGAGTCCCAGCTGGGTCAGTTGGCATTTCTGTATGGAGTTTGCATGTTCTCCCCGTGTTTATGAGGGTTTCCTCCGGGTGCTCTGGTTTCCCCCAGTCCAAAGACATGCGGTATTGGGGAATTAAATAAACTAAATTGGCCGCAGTGTATGACTGTTAATAACTGTTTATTGATGTTTCCCAGTACTGGGTTGCAGCTGGAAGGACATTCGCTGTGTAAAACATATGCTGGATTAGTTGGTGGTTTATTCCGCTGTGGCGACTTCTGAAATAGAGACTAAGCTAAAGGAAAATGAATTAATCAATAGTTCATATAATATAGTGTATACTATATACTTCTATTGCGCCTCCAGAGGGAGTCATCGCCCAATTCTAGTCGGGTTTCATTTGGACTCAATCCCCCAGAATTCTTCAAACCTGAAACTGATTGCGGTTCCACCTGATTTTAACTCCCAGTCCTATACTTCTCATTTCCCAAAGAATTTTCTGAAGTTCTTTTTTTACCCTGTTATCATTACTGTGCGAGTTTCCTTGTATTTGTCTTCCTGTGTTTTTTTTTTCTTTCTTTCTTGCATTGTTTATTAGACTGTTTGCTGCAAGCCCTAACTGATATTGTACTTGATTTTGGATTGCCCTTTACTGACGTGTCTGTCTTTTACCCGTTTATTAAAGACTGCAAATGGATCTCTCGACAAGTCTGAGTCATCATTACAACTGAAGTCTTTTGACACAATCTATTATATTACAATTACATTGCATTACAATGTATTGAACACACGTCTAACACTTACTGCCTATCTTCACTCTTATCAAAATTATATCTGTGGCACTAGCTTAACTGAGGTCTGTAGACTGTAGAAATGAATTGTAAACTGGGACTGTCGTACGTTATCTGTGACAGCAATTTAACTGTAATATCACGTTGAGGTATGGAACGCATAATTTTTTTCTAATGTCAATTTCTAGAAAAGAAGTATAACATGTCAAGGTATAATAAGGGTAGATGTGAGAATATAATGTTTATTTTAAAATGTGTTTTATTTCAATCTAAAAATAAATTAATAAATTAACAATTACCTGGACAAGGCTATTATATTCTTCTTTTTTTGTGAATATTTTCTCATCTTTTGTTTTTGTAATTTTACTTTCACTCAACCATGCAAACCAGGAAGCAGCTTCAGATGTGTGTGATGTGTTCTACAGTGAGAAACTCATCCACTTCCCGCTCTTCAAAAAATGCAGATAATACAGCGGCCTCATTCATGAAATGACTCTTCAGCCCTTTCTGGAATCTGCTCGACTTCGTGAGAACAGCAGAAACAACAATCACAACCAGCCGGGTGAAGAAGGATGAAGAAAAAAAGCTGCAAGAAACCACGCCAGATCAGGTCGTCCTCTATCTGCAGCTCCAAGAGAAAGAAACAAGCTAAAAGCAAAAACTGCCTCCGTGAGTTTGAAGCGTTTTCACTAAAAAAAAAATGGCAAACCAGTACTTAATCAAGTAAGAAATGTTCGTTTGGTGTGATTTTGTGAAGTCTCCTCAATCTAACTGATATGGTTCGACATATTTCAGAATCGTCTTCAAGTCAATCCCGACTTCCTGTTACGTGTGGATATAAAGAGGGGTTCCTGGATTTGAAGAAATATTATAAAAGTAGGTGCATAAACATTTCTAGATATAGGAAACTTAAAGACTTTAGAAATATAAAGGGCTACAGTGCATGTTGTCGAAGTGATTTTGTCTCAAGATCAAAATTCTGTCCTTAGGGCAAAAGTGCATCTTAAGTGAAGACCGCTGGTTTACGCCCACTGAGTTTGAGAGGTTTGGGAGAAAGGAGAAAAACAAAAAGTGGAGGACCAGCATCCTTTGCAAAGGGATTACACTCCAGAAACTCATAGAGGTGCAAAAGTCCGCTTTTAATATACTTTTAGTACATAAGAAACACACTAAAGTGCATTTTAAAAAGTGCATGTTCATTTGGAAACAATATTTCTGTGACACTTTTTTATTTCTTTGTCTTTCCTAATTTGAGTTTTCTCTCTACAGGATGGATTTCTTTTACCTAAAACCTTTATGAAAGGCAGGATTCATGGTGAAAAGGTTTGGCTATTGTTTTGGCTGCATTTGAGTGTTTTTCTAGTTATGAAGTTTAAGATTGTCTAAGATGTTTTTCAAACATTTTCCTTTTGTGTTCTGCAGCAGAAGAAAAGGCCAGAGGTTTTGCAGCAGCAGGGTGCGTAGATTAAAACCAAAAATTTTTGTTTAAATAAAATCCTAACCTTACATGAATGTCACGTTAGCTTCCAGGGGTGTAACGGATCACAGTTTATCCGTACGGATCACAATTCACGGTTCTGAATGCACATGACCCATGGATTAATAAGTTTTTTGAACTTGTACGTTAAGCCAACTTTTATAACAATTGCAGAGAGATTGCCTCCCGTGTCATTCAAATCATGTGAATGCATTTCGGCTTCCCTGTAAATAATGATGACGGAAAAAAGTTGTGGGACATACCTAAACGCTTTTTTAGTTTATTAATTAAAAGTGTTTTCTGTTAGAGTTTGTTTAGCCTACATTTATGCATTCAGTGTAAAGCTGCACAATTAAGCTTTAAAATATCGTGATCTCTATTCAAACCAGCAAAACATGAATGATAAATGATAATGATTTGCATGTTTATTAATCCTTTGAAGCGCTGCATTCAAATCCACGTTTTATCGAGAGAGAATTTTTACACTTTTTCAGTTAGTACAAACAATTAAATAACACAGAAGAACTGGGAGAACAGTTTATAGTTCAGCTATAAATCCTGATGTTTATGGTAAAGATTAAAATCTCAGTTTAATTGAACATGACGCTGGTGAAAGCAATTACATTATGTAACCAACAACCATCAAAATTATGTCACTGAATGGGTTTTCATAAGTGATCCACCTACAATGAAACATTTAGTTTTATCTGTGAATTGTTGAATGATTAAATGAAAATAAATATGATATGTTGTACAAGTTGTTAGACTTTTATATTTAGCACAATCAGCAACAGTGGCCAAGATCATATTCTGAATTGAATACTTTTCTTTTTTCAGCTGATTCTTTCTTAATGTTTATTTTTTAGTAAAATTACAGGTTCTACGTTCTCTTCGTTAAAATCAATGGGCTTTGCAGTAATATTTTTGTATAAATGAAAAGCAAATATTTGTCTCCTCTTTTTTTGCTCATTCGAAAAATGGTCCGATCTGTGACTCAAAAATCATAGTGTGATCCGAACCGTGAGATTTGTGATCCATTACACCATTATTAGCTTCACATATTGAAATGTCAAAGAATGTGCTCACGTTGCTTTTCCTCCCCACATAAATGATACAAAAAATGTTTGTATGTCATGTTTGTTCTGAGGTATTCCATAATGCTAATGTGTGTTTATTTTCTGTAAATCTATTGTCATCCTTTAGATTAAAGGGATAGTTTACGCAAACCCTTTATTGTGTTACAAACCTGTTTGAGTTTCTTTTTTTTATTGAACACTAAAGATATTTTAAAGATGGCTGGAAACCTGGAACCATTGACATTCATAGTATTTGTTTTTCCTACTGTGGAGATCAGTGGTCACCAGTTTTTAGCTTTTTACAAAATATCTTCTTCAGAAAAAAGAAACTCATAAAGGTCTTGGACTTGAGGAAGAGTAAATAATGAGTCATTTTTTACTTATGGCGACTATTATATTTTGTTCTTGTTTTTAATTAGTTTTAGAATCAGCTGAGAAGAGTAATGGCAGTCAAGGAGAGGATGACGATGATATTGACATGACCAAGTTCGAAGGTGAGACATTACCTGTGGCCTGCGGTTCAAACTCTGGTGTCCTACACAAGTGCCGCTTTGCTGGAGGTGCGTAAGTGAGAATGGGAACTTTTGCTGGAGGAGTGCTTTTATAATAATTAGCATGAAATATGATTATGTTGTCTTTGCTTGATGTTACATAAACATGAACTGTTTTTCTCATACATTTTCACTCAGTTTTGCCTTTATTTCAGAGCGTTGTGGGAGATGCATAAGAACAGAGAACACCTGGTTGACGCCTGAGGGTTTCATCAAGTTGAACAAGCCAGATGGAAAATGGAGGAAAGATATTGTTTCTAATGGAGTTCCTCTCGGAAGACTTATAAAGGTAAAACAAACAAACAAAAAAAGAGACAATAATTAGACAATATTTACATAATTTAAATGCATAGACAATTAAACTTAGACAATATTTACATAATTTAAATGCACAGAGCAACTGTCAATGATCTGTCAATGAATACATTTTTATTATACAAACGTTTAGTATTAGCAGGTTAAAATCAAATTATTCATGCATGTGCTGTGTTTATATGGCCACTTTCAGGTTTAATATTCCTATATTAACTGTAAAAAATGGTGGGAAAACATGAAGGAATTAAGTTAACTTATTAGTTTTTGCAAATTTAAGTGGATTGACAATTAAGTTGTCCCATAAACAATCAACAATTATGTTGTTTCAGCTCATTTCAAATAGGTTGTTTGCACAAACAGCAACCAATTTTTATTAAGTGTTCTATAAGTCGGCATTTCAACAATGAAAAAATACTATAGAAACTTATATTGAATACTATAGTGTTTTTGAACTATTCTATAGTAGTAAAGTAGTACTTTAATTTGTTTTTGGTAATTATATAGTTGCTTTGCTTATACAACAAGTGTAGTAATTTAAACACATTACCCAAAACTGTATGTTTTTTAGCATAATGTACTTCAATACAATTGTTTACTGTAGTAAATGTAAAGTACACTACAGCATTTATTATCAGCTTAGTAAGCCATCTTTAACAAAGTGTTATAAATAATATATACAGTATTATACACTATACTATAGTGTGGTTCAAAAACTCTAGTAATTACTACTATTATTTTATCTTGTGGTACGAGACAGGCAGTGAATTTCAATGGCCATAAAATAGCAATGTTTTGTTTTCATATTTGTTTTGTGTGTAATACCAGCAGATACTAAATTGAATGTTTAAACACACATTGGGCATAATGGCTCATTTCATTACTGTGAACTGCGTGTATATATTAAATAACAAATAAGCTAGTTATAAATTAAGTCAGATGAAGAAGAACCGGAGTCAGATATTCAAATAAATAAATAAAGTTTACTGAGGATAGCTTCCAGTTTTATCAGCAGAAGCCAGCTTTAACACTCGCAATGAGTGCCTAGGCCGCTCTGCTTACAATCAAAAATCAATAACAATTATACTCTCAAGACCAGAAAGGGTGCGATTTAGGTGATAGGATCCGATTGGTTCAAACAAAGATAGATAGTTCTAAATATGTACGTTAATGCGGGGTCGTATCTGAATCCAGATAGGGATGCCGACTAGAGGCCTGGTTCAAGTCGCCCGTAGACAATGAAGAGCTGGTCTCAGACCTGTAGAACTCGCCCTTCAGATGCATATACGCATGCAAGAGACACAATCTGTTATAAAAACCCAAGGTTGTTTCTTGGTACTCTCAGCTGTCTTATCAAACTAGTTCAAAACTGGTATAAATAGCATTCTGACTGCTATATTCTTACTACACAAAGTCTATCTTGAAAAAAAAAAAAACTTTTTAAACTGAATATACACATAATAACAATAATATCAAGATCACTTTAGACAGTATTAACACATTTATACAAAGAGGAAAACAGTTGTTATTTATCATCCAGCCCTTCAGATCCACTTGAGCTCTCCATGACCTCTGACCTAATTTGGTGACTCCTGAAAATAGAGTTACAATCTCTATTTTTTCTCTATTGAGAGACAGGCAAACTCACTGAACATTCTTACATTAAGCAATGTGTTAACTTTACTCATTCTTTAAATAATCATTAATAAAGTAATGAGAAAAAGGATAAATATTGATCAATGCTGGGACGAATTGGAAGGCAGGAATCCGAATCCATCAAAGTATTTTTATAAATAGTATTTTATAGTTTGGTTTATTTTTCTAATTGGGAATTCATATTGTGTGTAGATAATGCCTTCACTTGTAAAGACTGTCAAGACAGATTAATTTGTTGCTCATTTATTTTAATTAAACAATATTATGGGGATACTGCTTACCAGTGCAGTTTTTCTTTTTCCTGCTCTTACTTACAAATGTGTGAATAAATGTGTAAGAAATAAAGACATATTAACTGTCATTTTAATGTGATTGTTAGATTTCTCGTTTTTTTTTCATCTGAACACATTTAACTCTGTCATAACTGCAATATTTAAACTCATTAACATTTATAGCATATTTGACTGTATGGGCTGCTTCTCGCTATACTTCGTGACAAAAAAAGAATATTGAATATTGTTCTCTAGTCATGATGGAACTTACAGGCAAATCGTATTAAATTGTACGAATGACATTGTATGAATTAACCTCTAAATCAAAAAATTACGAATTGCTGTGAGATTGTGTTGCAGCGTACACAATTTAAATAGCATGAAGAGCAAAGAATGCACTCAAAAACGTAATTTAATCATAGCACCCATTATGAATAACTAACTGAAATAAACGTATTATGTGTTTTATGAACATACGTTTGTAGATCAAACATGATTTTAACATGTTCCTCTAATTTCTTTGCAACTTATTATTAGATCAAAGATGTACTGTAGCTAGATGCACTCACATACATTGCGTTATAAGTCACCATTGTGGTGATCTGTGTTTGCTTTACATGGGATTTTTTACCCTTTATTTATCATGTTTTTCTCTGGCTGTGATAATTGCATCACTGGTATATTCTGCAATGAATAGGTGTTTTTAAATGAATTGTTATTCAATGAGAATGTTGTAATGTTCGGTTTTATTTCACTTGAATGTAGGGGAGCATGGGGCACAAAGTAACACAGGGTAAAATGTAACACAGAGTTTGAAGGTATTTGCTTGGTTAACCATGGCATGCTTCCGAGGTTTTCAACACAGTGTCGGCAGATGTCTTCTTGCCATTTATTGAAAAACTTTGGCGAAATTTGGATGAAAATCACAGGAGAAACCTTTTTTGCAGCATAAAAGTGTTTTTATTATACTCAATATTTTTCTATTTAAAAGAAATCTGTGAAAGTATGTGTGCAAAACCTTATATTGTTGTGATTACCGTCTTCTAGGTTAAAAGATAAAACATTTTAAAAGATGTAAAAAACAGTTAATGCTAGCCAGTTTTAGGGAGAACATGACACCGCGGGGTTAGTTGTAACAGGGTGTTACAATTAAGCCACACATTATTAGACGCCAGTTAAACTAACAAAACAATTCTTAAATTTTGAGTGTGATGTTGGGAACTTTTTATATAAAAATGTTTTTAAATGGATTTAAAAAAAATATATTAATAATGCAAATAAATGCATTGTATTATAATGGATAGTAATGCAAATAAATCAAAATGTGTTTATCCAGTAAATAAGTAAACATACTGTGCTATGAAGAATAAAAAAATAATTTAGCTAAGTACTGAGAAAATTTAGCTACTATTTAAAGTAAACTGAATTTAAATTAATTGTGTGGAATCTGTTACAACTAACCCTCTGTCTGTTACAACATAACAGGCACAGAAACAATAAGTCAGGCGATCATACTTTCAGTGCTCATTTGTAGGAGAGGCTTGTGTGTTACTGGTAAAAAAAAAATAGGGTTTGTCTAACCTAGGGGTGTCCAACCTCAGTCCTGGAGGGCCGGTGTCCTGCAGATTTTAGCTCCAACTTACTTCAACACACTTGCAGGGATGTTTCTAGAAAGCCTAATAAGAGTTTGATTGCTAACTCAGGTGTGTCTGATTGGGGTTGGAACTAAACTTTGCAGGACACCGGCCCTCCAGGACCAAGTTTGGACACCCCTGGTCTAACCCCATTACTTTGTTCATTATTTGACCACAACCAAAAAGTGTTACTTTGTGCCTCGCTCTCCACTATTGCCACTATTGATCTTTAAACATTCTTATTGTTTATTCAATCCTATTCAGTTTATTCAGTTTGTCGCCACCTGTTAGTGTAATGACGTAATCTGCCATTGAAAATCAAAAGTCATTGAAAATTCTAGAGTGATTTTACTGTCTAAACAACATGTTTTTGCATACTTTCAGAAAAAGGTTTTGGAACTACATACAATCAACTGTGACTGTGAGATCTGCCAAGAACTGGATCAGCACCTCGTAAGACATCTCAGCTCGCTGATATTGTAATGTTTTCTTAAATGTGCTATTTATTTTATTTCATTATGAACTCTTTTCTCTACAGAATGATGATGTGTGTTTTGTGTGCAACTCTGAGGGAAATCTGGTGTGTTGTGATGAATGTCCACGAGCGTTTCATCACCACTGTCACCTACCAGCTGTGCCTGAAGATTCATCTGGGTAGGAGAGAGAAAACCTGCTGCTTTAGAAAAGCTAGATTGATTTGACTGTTTGTTTAATATCGTATGCTTTTGTGTGTAAAAGCAAGTGGAGCTGCACAATTTGTGTGCTGAAGAATATGAAAGGTTCCAGTCAAAAGAACCAACAGGATATAATGAGCAGTCCAGTTTCTCAGTACACTCAGGTACAATTGATGCAAAACTTACTATGGAAGTCAAAGTGGTCCAAATCAGATTTATGCATTTAAATTCCACTCAAGAAGCATTTCTTAAACCCTTATTACAGTATATTTGATTGTCTTTGTGTTTTGTCCTGCAGCACTGCCAGTGTCTGCTGTTACACCTGCTGCGTGAGTGCATGACTGACCCCTGCACCAATGTAAATGTCTCTGTGCTGTTTTACATCATTTAAAGCTCATATTTGTGTTGAACATGCATGTAACGTCTGCACTGCGGGTCTGCAGATTCCAGGAGGCAGTGAGAACATTTGTGGTCCCATGATGCTGGGCAGAGTCAAACAGAATTTGGAGAATGATAATTGTCCGACTGTGCAAGTGTTTGTCTCAGATATTGAATATGTCTTCCACCACTGCACCTCCAAAAGGGTGAGTTTTGCTCAGATTTGCAAATAAAACTAATCAGATTGCATGTCTTAATTCCATAATTCCTTAATTCCATTTCTCTCTTCTGTAGGATAATGACTTCAGCAGAATGATGTCTAGACTCATGGAGCTGCTTGAAACCATCTTTAAACCTTAACGTTTGTGTGTTTTGTACAGAAATTACAGGGGGAATAAAGAGCAATATGTATGCATCATATATTTTAATTGCTGTTCATCAAACTCGAAATTTAAAAACTTAAGAAAAAATATATATATTTTAAAATAATATTTAATTTTATACATTTTTGTAATATATTTTAGACATTTTTTTGTCAAGAACAATGTTATGATTTTAGTGTTTGCATTATGACAAAACTGAGTTTGGAATAGTATTTATCACCACCACCATCATTATCATCATTATATTCTTCTTCTCTTATAATTAAGATTATTTTACTTTAAGTTACAATTTAGACAATACAGCTTTGTATCTTAAAGACTGTAAAATATTTTAATGTTGTTTCTGCTGTTGCAATATGGCAAAAGAAATAACATACTGTGTTTCCAGACCATTTATAATCTTCTTTGTATTCTTTTAGATTATGATACATATTTGTATTTAATAAAAACATTTGTAATATGAATATTCTTTGGATAAACAGTACAGTACTAATTAAATAATCATTTAATTACAAATAATCATAGAGAAATAAACAACCCTCCATTACAGTTTCTAAAAACAATACATGTCAAAATTGATTGACTTCAAGCTGTTAAAATAATGCAGATCCTTTATCATCATACTTTATGAATTACAATCACTCTCAATTGCTAATGATTTTGTTTTCTCGGCAGTTTGTTTGTTCCAGCAGATCTCTCTTGATTTGAAATAAAAGCAGTTTATACCAACCCACCATGTAATGTCAGTGCTGTAAAACGTGAGGATGTATCTACATACATCCTGTCAGCAGCTGAAAAAAGTAAACAACGTTGGTTCATGGTTTCGTTTCACTTACGTAGTCTACTGTAGGTTTCATTTTTCCCTCAACGTCTTTGGGAGGCAACTAAGTTTCGTTTTTCCTCAGGATATCATCGGACGGTATGCGTTTGTTGTTATCAATTGTCTTTTTAGTTTACGATGCTTGTGATGATATTGTCAAAGAATGCTTCTTTTATATATATGTGATGAATTTTTAACCGGTGCAGGGCTAAGATTTACATTCAAACTTAACGCATAATATTTGCATAACTGACGCGTTTTGATTTGAAATCACAGCCCATCTTTTGTAGCCTACAAGCTAACAGCACAGCTCATAGCAAATACAAAACAAATATACTAAATATACATATATATATAATTTATTTATTGTTCAAAATGATACACACTTTAAGAACTGTAGCCTATAGTAAACCATGGTTTTATTGTGTTAAATTGTTTTAACGCATTAATCACCATTTGTGTGCTATTTTTTTTATAATTTGTTTATTTACTTGGACATAACAATTTTAAACCCACTGTAAGTATTTAAAATTTATTAAAGTGAAGATGTGTATGAAATTATATGTTTTACATGTTTATTCATACATTAACTATTTTCTTTATGGCCAGCGTCAGGCAATCAGTGTAAATGCTGTCTGTCTTGCATCAGTATGGATTATTATAATTATGACCAGGCATGTCAAATTAATCTCAGCCCATCCCTTTGCTGAATGTGACCATGTGATAACCCATTCATGCTAAGATTATCACAGTGAATGTGTTGTTTTGTTATTGGAGTTATTTTTTATACCCAATTAGAGGAAAGCTTGGTTTACAACCCTAATTGTGTTTTGTTGTTTTATCTTTGCAGCAGCCATTTAGATTGCATTTTTCTAATGCAGATTTTACAGAACTCTACAGAAAAGATGTTCAAGTGTTTAGATATTTTAAAATCAGCACCTATTTTAAAAATGAACTGACGGTGGGTTACAAACCACCTGTATAGTTTACAGTTTTGTTGTTGTTTTGCTGAAGAGTGCACTATAATCTTTATTTACACAATGTACTTCTTGAGCCCAAATAAATAGCTCAATTATGCTGGAAAATCATGATTTGTTGCATTTATTACTTGTTTTTTTAGGTAACTGGTTGCAAGCAATTTATTTGGGCTGAAAAAACAAACAAACAAACAAACAAAAAATCTAATTTGTTTGTTTAAATTCAGCCTATATAAATTCAGTAAATCTAATGAGTTTGTGTGTGCGTGCGTGCGTGTGTGTGTGTGTGAACTATAAGATTCTGCCTATTATTTTACAATTTTATGTGTAATTGTTTGCAATGTGTGCGTAAGAACAAAAAAAATATTGTTTCATGTTTTCAATGTGGTATGTTTTCAATGTTGTTTCATGTTTTCAATGTGGTACTTATTTCTTGTACATTACGTCAGCATCCATTTTTAAGCATAATCAAGTCCATCTACTCTTTGTAGATCACTGGGGTTGAGAAGTGTTACAATATTAAGTTAACAGTTTAAGAAAGCCAAAGCACCAGGTCTGCTGTACTGAATACATAAGGCCTTAAATATTTTGGGTGTTTTTTTAAATTATTATTTGTTTGCTCTGCGGATGCACGACGGTTAGAACTGTTGCCTCACAGCAAGAAGGTTGCTAATTTGAGTCCCGGCTGGGTCAGTTTGCATTTCTGTGTTCAATTTGCATGTTCTTTCCGTGCTGGCGTGGGTTTCCTCTGAGTGCTCCGCTTTCCCCCACAAGTCCAAAGACATGTGCTATAGGGGAATTAAATTGGCTGTTGTGTATGTGTGTGAATGTAAGAGGGTATAGGTGTTTCCCAATGCTGGGTTGCAGCTGGAAGGGCATTCGCTGTGTAAAACATGCTGGATAAGTTGGTGGTTCATTCCGCTGATCCCTGATGAATAAAGGGACTAAGCTGAAGGAAATTGAATGAATGAATGTTTGCTCTGCTAGACATACTTAATATTGCCAGAAGAGGTCAGCATAGCATGCAAATTATTTGTTAACCGAATAGGTTGACTAGTTGAATTACAAGACTTAAGAATATGCTAGTTTAATTGTTTTAAATCATCTTTAGACTGTTGTAAAAGCACTAGCACATAATTGTTAGTGTGGTTTAAGTAAACTTGTGTACTAAAAATAGGCTATGTTAAATGTTACGTTTAACAATACATTTGTGTGCAGGTCGAAATCTTGTGGAACACATCAGAAAGAGCGAGCGAGAGAGAAAGAGAACCCGCCAGAGGTTGGAGAAATGCATGGCTTGTTTTTTCCTCTCCTTGCTAATATGTGGGTGTGGTGAGGGTAAACACTTTGATTGAAGTGAAACTACATGATTTCATGGGAATATCCGATGCTGTAAGGCAAAGAAACGTGTACATTTTATCATAATATCCAGTTAATAGCCTAATGGTTTGAACGCATTATTGATTTTAAGCCTTATGTCTACAAACATTTGTTAAAATGTGTCTTGATTTAAAATGAACCTGCAGCCCTACATTGAAAAACTGTTTTTTTGTGGTTGAGAGTTAAGATGCTCACTGGCTTGAGGAGCCTACTTTTGTTTTACTACTAATGTAATGTAAACCGTTTCCCCCCTGCAAAATAGAAAGGAAAAGCAGGGTTTCTAGATTTGCAACGATCAACAATGCAAGCTAAACAATTTTCATAATATTTTGTGAACATTACTGAAGTACTAAAATGCTGAATCATCACAGGTTTGTCCTTTATTATTAGGCCTACTGCAAATGATTAAAGCTAATTTTATTTTATATATAGTAAGCCTGCAATGCAGCAAAATGCAGAGGGTTTTTATTTTTTACACCATCCGGGGTGCGGAATCAAATTCCATTTAAACAAAACTCCTCCAGCAGTTCATACTCACATCCAATATCTCTCATTTGTCATGGGAACTTGCATGAAATTTCATTCCTGAATGAAAGTGAAAGTGCCAAACTGCAGTTAAAGTCGACAAATTAAATATGTAACACCCAAAATACATGAAACCCTGGTGGAAATGTGGTAAACGTATGTTAATGTGTACAATTATGTTTAGGATTGCTAAACTCTTATGGGAATACTGAATCACTAAATAAAAGATTTACCCGTATCAGTATGACTAAACTTGTAAAGCAGTTTTGCATTTATATGTTCTCTCATAGTCAATGTCAAGGTGTTGAGGAAACTGGATTTTGGCACTGAGAAGAGTAATATTTGACATCATGGGTAAGCAAACAAACCCACTGTCAAAATCGATGACTATTAACCACATGCAAAATGTTTGTGACCAAAAGACCAAGGAATTGTTCACACTATAGTTTCTACATTTTTTACTTCTGCAGAAAGTGAAATATATTTTAGTTTGGCTAAAATGAAAAGGTTTTAATTATTATTTTTTTTTTTTAAGTTTTAAGGACGATATTATTAGCCTTTAATTTTTTTTTTTTCTTCAAATTGACTGCAGAACAAAACACTGTTATCTAATAACTTGTCTAATTAACCTAGTTAAGCCTTTAAATTGACTTTAAGCTGAATACTGGCATTTTGCAAAATAACCAGTAAAATATGATGTACTGTTATCATGCAAAAAAAAAATTATTAGGTATAAGAAATTTGTTATTAAAACTATTGTTTAAGAATTCGTTGCAAAAATATTCTCACCTTTAAGCAACACTTGGGAAATTATATTCTTAAAATTATATATTTAACTGTATGTCATCCTTCTGTTTGTCTCTCCATCTACTTTACAATAATGTAATGGAAGTACAATGACACAATTATTCATTATTTAATTCATATACGTATATTATTTTTATTCCCTATTATCTCCATCTTAAAAGGGATAGTTCACTCAAAAATTAAAATTCTGTAAATACTTTACTTGAGTATGTTTAAATTTATGGGTCAACTATTTCTTTAACTCTGAAAAATAGACTGATTCTGTTAGCCAATGTACAACCAAATTGACTTTTTTGGGCATATTTTGTAATTTGTGATTCTGAATAGAAAATACAAGTGTTCAAAATATAATTTAAGTGGCGCTTCTGCTACACATACAAGTCTCACTGTATTACTGTATATGAAATGTTTTTTTATGTACATTTGAAGACTGGAATGCTATGATTCATATTGTTTGTTTGTTTTTACATTCATTACCTCATAGGTAATAGTGTGCCTTGGCTGTCAAACAAGTCTAATGAAGGAGAAGATGGTAACACTTGTACGCAGGAACTGGGACAAAGGAAAAGGAAGAGTAGTGAGTCATGCCAAGAGAGTAAGTACAGTTAAACATGTTTGCTGTTGATAAGTTTTCTGTGTGATAACAAATATTATTAAATAGCTGCACATTGTGGAAATACACTTTGTGGAAATATTGAATAAAGTACACTTTAACGACAAATCACTGATTTATTTCTAGCAAAAAGCAAAAAACCAAGAGAAGATACACCATCGTCAAGTAAGTGCAACTAAGCAAAATTATTGTACTTTAAAATATTAATGTGGCTATGTTTGTAATTTATAGTTTGCTAAATGTGTTAAGCTACTGTATGTGTTATGATTTT